TGTTGTAACATGTTTTAACTTGTTTTAACTTGTTTATAACTTGTTTATAACTTGTTGTAACATGTTTTAACTTGTTTCAACTTGTTTATAACTTGTTGTAACTTGTTTTGAACCAGGTCTTGGAGCTCGGTGTGCCCCCTGATGTTCTCATTAAAACACGAAGGACCTTCTGTTCCACGTGGTGCAGCTTTATGTTTATTAAAGTAAAATAAGGACATACGGACACAGCAGAACAGATACACAAAGGTCTTCTCAAGATGGCCGCCACAACCCCTGCCCAGGGCCTTCAGTGGCCTCTCCAGTGTTTCTCTGCTTCAATTAGAATGATCTGTGCTGACCTTCATTGTGAGGATGATCAGGTGACATCACTCAGGTTGGTTACCATGGAAACAGCAGGTCAGAACAGGTCTGCAGATGAGGAACACGAGACATCTTCATCACCAACTGACCTTTAACCCAGAGCAGAAATCAGCTCTGCTGAGGTCATCATGTCACTGGCTGTGCTGTGTGTCTGTCAGTAAAATATCTCCTGAATGATTGGATGAGTTTTGAACACCTGCAGATGATGAACCTGTGAGTCATCCCAACATCTGACGGCTCAGATTCATTCTGTCATGTTTCAACTCACATTTTATTACATTTATACTCATCTGATTTTTGTTTGAAATCAGTTGCTAATATTGTTTGTACTTGATTTTCAAAATAAAAGTATTTCCACCCAAATAGAAGTTTGTGTTGTGAGTTTTTGTTCAGCTGATTCGAAACAAGACAAATCTTCACTTGTATGTATTTTATTAGGCTGGTTCTTCACATGCTCATGCTTTTATTTTGTAGGAGGTTTTACAGCTTCCTGTTTCCAGTCTTTCTAGTTACCAGGTGTGGAAAAAAACTGGATAAAACTTCTGTTAGCAAAATATGAAAAAATAGGATCTCAGATTAAAAACGAGTCGAACTTAAAAATAGAAAATAAAAAAGTGCTTTCAAATAGAAAAGGGGCGGGGCCTGTTTCTTACACTCTTGTTGGCAGTTTGTTTTCTTACAGAGTCGTCCAGGTGAGAGCCAAGTGCACTTTGATTTGTTCACCGTGTGGCAGCAGCTAACATGCTAACATGCTACATTACAGTGATAGCTAATGCTTAACGTGAATGTAAGTGTTGCACCTGTGAACACCTGCGAACACCTGTGAACACCTGTGAACACCTGTGAACACCTGTGAACACCTGCACAGACTGATGGTTCAAGTTAACAGAAGACACGTGTGGCTCACCTGAGTCCAGGTGAAGGGCAGAACAAACACGGACACACAGTCAACATGTGACGGCTCAGAGAACACACCTGGGCAGGCTCACATGCTAAAGCAAAGGTAAAGGTCCTCAGGTGAGCTGAGCTGCTACACCTGGAAACAGGAAGCCCAGCAGGTGAAACATAAATAAATCAAAGCCATCAGGAAACATGTTGTTAGAGGCGGGGCATGGACAGTGGGCGGAGTTAGTCAGGTCACATGATGCTGCAGCACTTACACGGCTGCTTCTTCTTCTTCACCTCCTCCTCCTCCTCCTCCTCCTCCTCCTCTCCTCTCACCTCCGGAGGTTCAGCAGAGGGGGGCGGGGCAGCAAAGGTGGGAGGACTTGGATCTACTTTCCCGTCAACATCCTGAATGAGAACAAGCTCCGCCTTCACTGTCCCCTGCAGCCCCAGCAGCTTCTTGGTCTGGTCCTGGTCCTCCACGTCCTGGTACCCCATGAACACCATGGTGACGGGCTTGTTCTCACTGACCTCTGCTGCTCCCGGCTCCCCGCTGGCCTCCGCCTCCAGGCCGGTGATCTCTGCTGTGATGCACGGGACGGGGGCGGGGCTTGGTGTGACGCCCTGCTGGGGGTCTGGGACCTCAGCCCTGGACAGGGAGGTCACCGTAGCAACCGTCTGTGACATCATCGACACCTCGTCGGCTTTGTGGAGGAGCTCGTCCACCTCCAGGGAGCTCAGCAGGTGGACGCCATCTTCACCGTTCATCTCATGGACCACTGATGGACATGGACAGAGACACATCAGAGACAGACAGAGGACATCAGGCCCCGCCCACATGTTTATCATCAGCTGCTCGTCACTTCTCCTAAAGCTCTGAGTTCATTTCCTGTTTCTGTTTACGTGGTGAGCTCACCTTTTTGCTCGTCTTCGTACACTTTGACCCCGTGGTCACAGAGGTCAACAGGARGTGTTGTGTTAGTGGACAGGACCCTGGTTTCTCCCGTCACTCTGTCTCGCTCCACTTTAATCTCCACTGAGTACATCGCTGTATGAGGGGGAGGAGTCAAACGTTTGTTCAGGGTCAATGTGCAGATGAGTCATCAGACTCTAAACCAGCTGATTAATCACACAAATAATCAGTTGATTAATCACACAATCAGTTGATTAATCACACAAATTAATCAGGTGATTAATCACACAAACAATCAGGTGATTAATCACACAAACAATCAGGTGATTAATCACACAAACAATCAGGTGATTAATCACACAAACAATCAGCTGATTAATCACACAAACAATCAGGTGATTAATCACACAAATAATCAGCTGGTTAATCACACAAACAATCAGCTGATTAATCACACAAACAATCAGCTGATTAATCACACAAACAATCAG